CATTCCGCGTAAAAGCCTTGAAGAGCTTCTTGGAATACCTGAAGAGCTTTCGTCAGTTAGCACTGGACAGGGAGGTTTCAAGAGGACTGATAAGAATTATTTGCACAGTTTCTGAAGATGGGAAATCACATGGTTTTACAGTATGTTTTCGAGTCGAAACAGCTCTGATGCTGCAACTGCTGGTGATGATGATGACGACGATTATGATGATGATGATGATAATGTTAGCTTCAAGAATTTTGCTAGTGAGCTGAAGTTGCTATTTATTGGAACGAATTAAAACACTGATCATGATCTCCCCACCCACCAAAAAAAAAAAGTATGTTCAGTTATAAACAGACTGGGACAGACTGAAGTTTAAATTCGGTTACCGGATAAACTCGCGTATCATGCGACCTTTGAAGGCCCAAATTTGAAAGTAATTTGACTACAGTAATCGAATATATTCAAAGGCGTAGACAGGGCAAACAGTATGCTAATTCAATATCTCTTGTATGATGTGAACCCCCCTCCCATCCTTGAAAATTAAATTCAAAATTAGGTATTCAAATGTCTTCATGATACACGTGTATGTACTGTAAACATACCGCGTAAATGAAATATTTGCTATTTTATTATCGGTTCTCAATCGACCAACTCACCAGTTGAAGATTTCCATTTAATCAAATTGTTAGAATCCTTTATTTGGAACTAAGTTCCGCAGTCTAAGGAAGGAAGAAAGGGTTCAGTTTGGTATTACAAGAATTAGGCTAACCCGTGGAAATTCCTCTAACTTCTAGCTGAGCTAGTCCATACTCTAAGTTTTAGTCTTCCTTCTCTTACGTTTAACATTTCAAAGTCTCTTTTATCTCTTTCAATATCCATTAACTGAGTATTTTGCCATCTAAATGTCCAGCTTTCAAGCATTTTATTCCTATGTAGCCTTCGGTAAAATTAAGAAGACTGAATTTATCATCTATATGTTTCTGTGTGCATGGTTGTATACTCCTCTATCCTTCCCAAGGAGTGTGTATTTGATGAGAGTTGTTACGGGTGGTATATTGTCCCTCAAACAGATATTGAATGACAGAAGACTACCACAAACAAGACGACGATTTGCGTTAAAAAAAAAAAAGTATATTACCAAGTTTATTGTTGCTAAAGAAAAATAGATAAACAAAAACTATTTTACAGTGCACTAGGTAAAATATAACGCAAGCTCATGTAGAGGGTGTGAATAGCGTTGTCCTGAGAAAGACAGTCTTGGAAATCGTGGGAAAGCGTTGCCCTGAGAAGTACAACTTCGTGGTCGCTGGAGAGCGTTGTCATGAAAAGGACAGTTTTGTTGTTGCCGAAGGGCATTGTCATGAAAAGGACAGTTAACTTGTTGCTGAAGTGCGTTGTCCTAAAAAGGACAGTTTTACGGTTGCTGAAAAGTATTGTACATATTGCTGTCCAGTAGTCCCTATAGACATCTATCTATTCTAGACTGTCCGTATCTATCTATCTATCTATCTATCTATCTATCTATCTATCTATCTATCTATCTATCTATCTATCTATCTATCCCACCCTCTTCAATATCTATCTATCTATCTATCTATCTATCTCAGCCGTTATATCTATCTATCTATCTATCTATCTATCTATCTATCTATCTATCCCATTATCTTCAAAATCTATCTATCTATCTATCTATCTATCTATATATCTATCTATCTATATATATATATATATATATATATATATATATATCCCACCCTCTTCAATATCTATCTATCTATCTATCTATCTATCTATCTATCTATCTATCTATCTATCTATCCTCATATTTACGCATCTATCTGTCTCTATATCTATTTATCTATCTAGTTTTATCTGTCCTTATTTATCTCAATATTACAGTCTGTCTATCTGTGTCTGTCTATTCCAAACTGCCCATATCTATCTATCTATCTATCTATCTATCTATCTATCTATCTATCTATCTATCTATCTATCTATATTTGCGCATCTATCTGTCTATATATCTATTTATCTATTTTGTTTTGTCTGTCTTTATCTATCTCTATATTACAGTCTATCTGTACCTGTCTATTCCAAACTGCCCATGTCTATCTATCTATCTATCTATCTATCTATCTATCTATCTATCTATCTATCTATCTATTCATGTTTGTCCGTATCAATCTCTCTATCTATCTACGTCTGTGTGTGTGTGTGTGTGTGTGTGTGTGTGTGTATACGTGATTATGTGCATATCATTGCAGATATCTGACTTCAAATGTACGAACAGGTTCTCTGTATAAATAAAGATGTTTTGGATTGAACGAGTGCATTTTGGATGTTTGAAAACAAAACAAAAAAAAACGAACTGTTTAGAAACGAAATGCGCTTTTTATGTATTCATATTAAATCTGTCAATTTGAAGCAAGTCTATGTCTTTTAATGGAAATGATAATACTGCCAAAAAAAAAAAAGAGCCTGAAAAAAGTTTTTGACGATATTTGAAATATTTATTGCGAGCAAGTAAAAAAGAGCAAAGTTTATTGCGTATGAGTGATGTGAAAACTATATTCGTCTGGTATCGATTTCTTTCTTCTTTCTGACAAATTTCCAGACAGTAAGCTATCTTTCAGCATAAATATTAGTTTTTTGGGGTTTTTTTTATGTTGACAAGTTCTAACGTATGAAGCTTATTTACTGTATCGATTAAGACAATTAAATTTACCTATCAATCAATCTGTACGGTGATCAGTCAGTAATAGCACCATGTCTACACTGTTTTTTTTTTATATCATTTCAATACAAACACTAAGACGCACGGGATTACTTGGAGTGAAATAATCCGATGAAGAAAGGTTTTTTCTAAGGAGAGAAGACAATAACGGTACAGGATTCAAAGCGATAGATGTTGATTATTGATACCGGATTTAGATTTTTGAAGATTAAATTTGGTTGGAAAGCAAGAAGTCGTAGGAGAGTTCTACAAGGGAGAAGTGCGACAGAAGAAATTCTTAACAGAAAACTTAAATTAAACAACCCGGAACATTGCGTTGGGTGTGTCTATCTCTCGCTATCTCCCCCTCTCTCTCTCTCCCTATCTCCCTCTCTCTCTCTCTCTCTCACACACACACACACACTCACTCACACACACACACACGCATACACAACACACTCACACACGCACACAACACGCACACACACATTGATGACAAATAGGTCTGGAGTAACTTAACAGGGTTAAGTGCAGTTGACAACATTCGGAACAAACAGAATTGACAACGTTCTCAATGAACACATCGAAAAGGGAGAAAAAGAACAGGGAAAGACAATACTAAGCAAACAATAAATATGTAATTCAAAACTAGGTAAAGCAGCAGTAATAAGACGAAAAACACACAAAGAATTGTCTTCACATGCAAATGGAATACAGTCAAGTGGTTACAGCATTCTGATTTCAAGACAAATATGGATAAAATTATGAGATATAAGACCGAGAATTGTCCTTTTTTTATTTGTTAGGGAAAAATAATAATATTCCTCTTTAGGATACGTCTCTAAATTTGTGAAGCCTTTTGTACTTAACTGTTATTTCGTCTAAATTGGAACCAACATAGCTATTGATATTCATAATGAAAACTGTATTTAAAAAAGTTAAACTCAAGAAGATTTTCCATTTTTAGATAAATTTATAGCTAAAAAGTTTGACGTGTATTTAGTAAATTAATACGAACTCAATGAATGTTTTGTTCTGATATTTACCAAATCTCGTTCGTTAAAAAAATAAAAAGTCAACGCGTTATGTGCTATGTGATCTATAACTATTTTTTTTTTACATTAGTTATTCCTTAAACCCTGGGATATTGAATCGAGGTTTTAATGTGGATATTAATGGTACATAAAAATTGATAAGTCCTTGAAGGTACGGTATATGCAGACTTCCCAATTTTTTTCCGATTATGTTATATGAATGCTTGGTATTATTCAACAAATATCGCACCTAATAATGGAGATTTTGATGGTGATGCATGTTAGGGAAATATTGTGTGTACTTCTGTCTATAAGAATACAATTTTATAATATAACATCAAGTGTATTGAAGGCTGATGCCAACTTCTTCATATGGTGGACCCGAGACGTGCTATATTTTTTTCCAATCGCTTCTTCTATTTTATATATTCGATATCACGATAAACTTTTCAGTGGATGATAAGATCATTGCTTAGTAAATGTGTTTTTTTTTTAAAGCATAGTGCTGAGGAAGCAGTAATCGTTATGCGGAACTGACAAAATTCTCAGCAACAACAATATGGGCAGGAAGAAAAACATGAGAAAATAATACGAGACAACGTAATGAAAATAAAATGTTCATAAAATAGAAATGGTGTTCACCAGCAAAAGGGATACAGTCAGTTGTTTATTACCGATCTCAAGGCAAGAAAGAAAAACTTATGAGTAAAAGCAAGAATGGAGCATTTTTATTGGCTATGAAGAATTCCTAGGATGCATCTGTAATGGTTCGTCTATACATTCAGTGCAAGTAGATTTTTATCACTCATTTTTATCAGAGATTGAAACTAAAAATTAGTAATATATTTTCTAATTTTATTCTGTTGAGCGTAACTAGAAAACATTCTGATATAATAAGATAAGGTCTGGAAGTGTATTAATTTATTAGTTCAACACAATGTATCCAACGTATTCAAATTAAATTTTACATTCTTTATTATAAACTGCGTGAATATATATTGTAATGAATAAAGAGTAACATCACCGGCAGTTTTGACATTAAAATTCATTTCTATCAGCCGGAATATTTACGCTTCGGTTGTGCTTTGGATAATTACAATATTTAAAATATATGGTAGGGATGGGGATCATTTTAAACAACTTAAAAGCCCAGTTTGAATGGTAGAATCGAAATTAAGGTGAGATACTCTAATAATACAAACACCAATGTTTGAAACAACAAATAAAAGTCAGAAAATATTATCCCCATGTCCTGCGTCTTCCCTAAAAATTGGGCTTGGCTGATTTCTTACAACTTTTGAACAGTCTGAGATATCGGAAGGTTCTGACAGACATTCTAATTATTTTATTGAGTCAAATTTTGAACGTTTTTCAAGACAGCGTCCGAGCTAATACATCAGGACTTTATTTAATTTGTTTATTTTCTTTCTCGTCTGAGCAGAAATTTGATTTTTTTTATTATTTTTATAATTAATATATCCGTTGGGAATAAAAAATATATTCGTTAGGTGAATCGATCATATTTTCGATATTCAATTATCGACATCTTGTTAACACATTGTAAACTAATACCCCCCAAAATTATACATAATTCTAATCGACAGACAGTTTTCTGTTTGCAACTAATAGAATTAATTCCCAAAATACATTACTATTTACATTGAAACACATTTACGACTAAATGTTTTTATTTTTTTTTATTTTTTTTACCACCACTAACTTTTTGTCGCCGGTGGATTAATATCATATTGGTGATAGGAAACAGAAAAGTAAATCAACTTCAAGGTCTTCCTAACGCACTAAATACTAATTATATATATATATATATATATATATATATATATATATATATATATATATATATATATATATATATATATTCCGTAATGTCTATTTTCCCAAGCATTTTCAACCAATTCTTTAGCTATTCTCGAGGTGGGGGGTTGTTAATCGTAGTTCTCAATAAAACATTAAGAAATGTTCCTTGTCCGTTACATTCAACGAAACATATTTCCCAGAAAGTTTGCTGCAATAATATATATATATATATATATATATATATATATATATATATATATATATATATATATATATATAGTATTAATATTTTTGAGATGAGGTATTATGTACATTATTTATATTATTCGGACTATTGTCCTCATCTTTGTCGCCATATTTATCACAAAAATTCCAACCACCTGAAGAAGGCCGGAGCGTACAACGGCTGAAACGTTGTGAGAAATATGGCGACAAAGATGAGGACAATAATCCGAATAATGTAAATAACGTCTTAAGGTATGCTAGATTTATGGTTGAAAATGCCCAATATCAAGGATAGATTTTTTTGTGAATATAAAATGTGACACTACCGTCGACACAAATCATCGTTGTCTGTTCCATGATTAAACGTAATTGCCATGATGCGCGTCTTGTATTTTCTTCCGGCTATGTATATATGCTGATTAATGGTGTATTATGGGTAGCAAAATCTATTGTATTATTGGGTGGGCTGTAACGGTTATAGTTTAAATTATTCTAGAAGCTACTTAGTGGAAACAATTGTGAGTTTGACTGCGTTATTTGCAGCTATTTTTTAAAGTTACTTGTTAACTTTCTACACATTATTTATTATTGATTACTTAATTATTTATTATTATTACATTTTCCGGTGTTTATGTGTGCATTCGTAATTTATTAATTCGTTTATTTTTACTTTATTTTAATTTTTCGCGGTCGAATTGACTATAGTTAAACTTTTATCTTGCATGAATCTCTCACGTACATTCATATCTGCTCATGGCGTATCCAATGTAAACAAATGACGTCACACATTATGAAATATATATACTTAAATATTTGTATCTATAAAAAGAATGTATAAACATAAAAATGTCTTAAAATAATTGTCGGACTTTGTCCATTTCATAATGTGTGACGTCATTTGTTTCTGGATTCCTTTACTGCTACGAAACAGAAAAACGTAATAATGCTGCAAAAATTAAATAAAAAAATTATTAAATCTTCCCTGTCTGCTATATTTAGTGAAACACACACACACACACACACACACACACACACACACACACACACACACACACACACACACACATATATATATATATATATATATATATATATATATATATTTATATATGTAAGCAAATATATGGATATATATCCGACAGTATGAAGAAAAATATACAGAAAAAACAAACAAAAATCTTAATATGCAATTATGCTGTATTAGTGTTAACATAAAGTCAACGTCGGACGTTTCGGTCTATTTTAGACCATCATCAGGACATAGTCATAAAACATAATTAACATTCGAACATATTCAAATTCAACATGAAAAAGACGATGGACATAAGAGCACGACTAATCCAAACAGATAACTAAAATTTTTATATAAGATCAGTGTTCCGTTTAAATATGATCACGTCGTCGTCACGTGGGCGATGTTGTGAAAACGTACTCGAAGATGATTTCAAAATATTAAATAAGATCGATTGAACTATTTTCTCATATAAACAGTTCGTTAAGAAATCCTTTCCGT